CGTCAAACAATACCGCCAAGATTTTCAATATTTACTCGTACATGTGATTTCACCCGCTACTTAAAAAAAATAAAAATAAACTTTAATAAAAAAAAAACAAAAAAACAAAAACAATAAATAGAGGAAATTGGCATTTTGCCTTGCCTTTCTTAGAGTTGGGATACCTATCCAAGCCATTGGTTCCTTTCCTTTCTCTTGAACCTCGAACAAAAAATTGATCTCTTTGTTAGTTTGACTAAAAGTGTGTTTGGTTTATTAATTTGGGTAAAAATTTTAAAAAATTAAGAAAAGTGTGTGAAATGTATTTGGAGACAGACTCCTCCAGTCTAAAATTTGGAGTAGTGGGCACTGTTAAGGGTCGTGGGGCTCAACACTAGCTTCATTTTGATAATTCAAACCGTTCATTTTGTCAGGTATTTCGTATATTTTGTTCACACAAGAAATTAAATTGATCCGATAATCATAATCTATTTAATTTATCACGTTTGTCACTAAAAAAATGGACAACAACTGTTATAATTGAATAAATTGAATAAGTAACAATTATCAAAAGTGTCATATAAAATGAACGGTTTGAATCATCAAAACGAGGCCCATGTTCAGCCCCACAGACCCAAATAATGCCTTCTAGTCCAGATTTTGAACTGGATGGGATCCTCCTCCAATGTATTTTATTCATATTTTACTCACTTTTTTTATTATTATTTTTTTCTTTTTGCTTAAATCTATAAATCAAATACAACATAAGAGCTTCGAATAAAAAAACATAAACTAAAGATTTTAAGACCATGAATTGCAACTAGGGCTACAAACGAACCGAGTTGTTCATGAACAAGCTTGGCTCGGCTTGGCTCGTTTCGGGCTCGGCTCGGTTCATTTATTAAACAAGCCGAGCTCGAGCTCGAGCTCGACTATTAGGCTCATTTAGTAAACGAGCCAAGTTCGAGCTCACATAAGCTCGGCTCGTTTACCTTTATTTAAATTATATAATAAATATGTTATTTATTAAATAATATAAATAATATAAAAAAAATTATCGAGCTGAGTCGAGCCGAACTCGAGTTTCATTAATATTAATGAGCTGAACCGAGCTCAAACCCAGTTCCTTATCGAGTCGAGCTCGAGCTCAATAAACGAGTTCGATAAGTAAACGAGCCGAGCTCAAGCTCAGCAAAGCTCGGCTCGGCTCGGCTCAGCTCGTTTGCAGCCCTAATTGCAGCTCTCCTTCTTCTCAATCTTTTGATTCCGATGTTGCCAGCAAAAGGTCAGGGAGAAGAAATGAAGCTCTATCTTTAAACCAATGATTTAAGCATTTGGGAATTATTAGAAATACAAAATGAAAAGAGTGGTGATATATAGATAGAAAATTTAAATGAAAAGCTTAGACAAACTGATTTGGTTAGGTTTTGAGTTTATCCCTTTAAAATAAAACGTCTATTGAGATATCTTTTAATTACATGAATAATAATGTCACATTATTATTGTGCAAAATTCTCTTTTCTATAAAATTCCAGTTGTGGGATAGCATTATCCAAATAGAAAAAATAAATTAATTAATAAACAGACAATTCTAATTTCCTTACAATTTCAAACAAAAAAATTATTCAAATTGTGACACAAAGCTCTGAAATCAATTGAATGATGTTATTCAATATTAAATTTTACAAATTAATATAAAAAAATAACTTAGAAAAAAATGCAATGAGATGCATAGTCTTTTTTATTTTTATAATTTCAATTGATTTGATTTTGATCTTTAATTTTTTTACTGCCTCAAATTGGTCTAATTGATTTCAATCATTATTATTTTTTTATAAAAAATGTGTACATGAGTGGTATGCGCTATGTTTTATGCACAAAATTATAAACTTGATCGTTTTAGTGATTTAGCCTCTTTCACCTCATTTGCCAAAAACCCTCCAACAAAGTTATCAATTAAATTGACATAAAATCTAAAATTAAGAGACAAAATTGAGCTAATTAAAATTATAGAAATCAAAATGATACAATTTGCAAAATGTATTGGCATAATTTTCCAAAAAATATTGAGCACCGTCCTATGTGACGTTACCAACTAATAAGAAACCACAAATGAGATTAGTGGACAACCATTATCTCTAGTTAATTCAATAATGTTGTGGTCCTTATTGTAAACTAAAAAATGTTAATTAGATTATAATACTACCACATCATATCACTGACAAATCCAATAATTACTACCCGTTACTTTAAAAGAAAAAGGAAAAAAAGAAAGAAAGAAAAAATTGCAAACCACATGCAAAATTAAATGAGTTTGTTGAATATTTTGTCAATTTTGAACCAATGATTTGAACAGATTGGGAGGATTATTAGAAATATAAAATGAGAAGACTTGGTGATATATAAATAGAAAATTGAAACAAAAATCTTATACATGATGACTTGGCTAGAGTATGACCTTTTCACTTTAAAACAAAGAGTGCATTGTGATGCCTTTAATTACATAAATATTATTGTCATATTATTATCATATTATTCTTGTGTAAAATTATGTATAAAATTCTAATTGTGGAATAGCATTTTTCAAATGAAAAAAAAAAAAATCAATGAACGTACGATTTTAATTTTCTTACAAGCTCAAACAAAAAATTTATTATTTATTTTAAATTCTGACATAGTTCACAAATAATCAAATGCATAAAGTTATTCAAAATCATATTTTACAAATTAATAGAAAAAAAAATGCAATGAAAATAAGATTTGGGTATCATCAGATTAATTGTATTAGGATTAGGAAAAAATTGTGTGCGGGCAAGTTGATAAAATTGGGAAGAATTTATGCGTATCAATTTATAGTCTATTGTTAAATTTGAGTCCACAATGCATGTTTGGCATTTCTTGTAAATGATGTCATAGTGTTTGGTTAAAAACTGTTTTTAAATTTTTTTTTTTTTGGGGGGTAGTAAATTGTTATTTTTATTGTAGTAAAATAATGAGATTTGATTTTGCAATCATGATTAATCATACTTAGTAAAATTTGATTTTGCAATTAAAATTAATGCATTATTAATTTGAAGATATTTTGATCATTTGCTGTGACGGAGTTCTTGGGTCAATTAAAAAATGAAGACTATATTACAAATATAATTCTTCCTAAGTTTGTTTAAAATACGAATTATCCTATATAGACTTCGTTTGAGAATAATGGTTGGGTTGGGTTTAGAGTTATTTTAGCCACAAAAAGAAAAAATAAGCTTTTTAACCTAATAAGACAAAACATCACATACAACCCATAATCATTACATTCTTTTTCTCACAAAAAGTCAAAAAGGCTAGAAAGCCTTTCTTAAACGAGACTTTTTAACCCCAAACCAAAATAGCTAAAAAGTCAAAAAGCCAACCCACTTCCCAAACAAACCCATAGTTTAGAAAATTACAAATATTTTTGTATCAAAATTTAATATAATTAATTGAAAACATGAAATTCCTAACTGCTCTCTTAGATACAATAATAAAATTACTTAAATTATTAATTGAAATAAATTTATGATATCATTAAAAAAATTTAATTAATTTGATGATTTTATTAATAGATGGACTGTTTGTTAAAACCAAATAGGGTGATTGTCGTTTTCTCTAAAATGACATGAGCAAAATATCTATATTTGTTTTATTAGTTTCCACGTCTAAAAGTTGAGGTGCAAAAATGTCTTTTTCATCCCAAGGTTAACTCCATCAAAATAATTACACTAACAAAGGGTCAATGTAATTTTCCAAATATGAGGGGAAGAATCTACATTCAATCCAAATCTTAGGTGTTAGTGTAATTTATCCATCCATATTTCATCTCTCCATACTTATCTACACTCATTTTGTGAGTGTCAATTTGGACTCACTTTAGATGTATCGGACAATTATAAAAATAAAAACAAATCATGTTTTATTTTAAAAAATGAATGATTTAAATTTATAATTATATTTATTATTTATTTTATAAAATAAAATGTGATTTATTTTTATATATATTTATAAATGTATTACGAAATTAATTTTTCATATCTATACAACATATATATATATATATATGGATATATTGAGCACCAATGTATAGTGAATAGTGTTTTGGGCCTCGGATGGACAGGGGAGCTTCTATTTGCACACACAATATACACTTTTTGCACATCCTCCTCACTATACTTTTTGCACATCCTCTTCATTAAGTGTGTGTATAGAGTGTGTTTGGTGTGTGTAAATAGAAGCTCCCGATGGACAGTAATGTCTCATGTGTTGAAATGTCTGTTTTGCCTCTTGGTATTTACTTATAATAACGCCTAAAAATAAAGGGAGTATGCTAGAGATCCTAAATGATTTATCAAATTTTTTTATTAACCCTCTCACAAGCATATGGGATCCATGCATATGTAAATTTGTGTGAGTCTATGTGAGAAGTTTGGTAGAGTCCCAAATGATTTATTAATTTTTTTATCAAATATTTCACATGACTATAAAATCCATGTACATATGAATTTCAAAAATGATAGAGATCCAAAAAATGTTACTAAAAATTTTATCAAACGTCGTACATAGGTGTGAGACCTACATGGGATCGACATTGTGTGGGTTCATATCCATATAAAACATTTGATAAAATTTTTAATAATTTTTTTGAAATCTCTAGCATTACTTTATGAATTTATATGAACCGCACAGCATAGGAAAAGTTTGGTAAAAAATTTAGGCATGGTTTGAGAAGAGGGTTTGGGGGCTTTTTTTGGTTAAAATAATCACAAAAAATAAAATAAATTTTTTAACTTAATAAGACAAAATATCACATTTTACACATAATCATTATATTCTTTCTCTCATAAAAAATTCAAAAAAAATTAAAAAACCAGAAACTTTTTCCAAACTATTCTAACCCTGAACTAAAAAAGTCAAAATAAAAAAAAAATGCAAGGAAGAAAACCGAAGTTAAAAAAAAAAAAAAGGGCAACTCAATACCCACACCATACCTTCATAAATCAATTGGGTGATGGCATTTTCCAAAAAGAAAACCAACAAAACACAAATTACGCTTGTGTCGCCTAGAGCAGAGAGAGAGGGAGAGAGAAGAAATCGAAGGAGACGGAAGAGGAAGACCCACCGGTGACTACCGCCACCGTCGACATCCGCCCGCGGCAGCTAAGCAGCGAACGAGCTCTTGCACTTCTCCCTCCTGCCAGAGTTCTCACACTGCCCTCTCCCATCGTTCAGGTTCGTTTTTCAGAAGTTAGGGTTTTCATACGTACAATATCTGATTTTTGTTTTTAATTTTTCTTTTCTTCCCTGTTCATCGTTTTTCTGTTCTTGTGAAAATAGTTTTTTTGGAATAGTTTGTGTGGGTTGCAAAAAACAGATTGAACCAGTTTGAATTTGTCATTTTTTCCTCCTTTTTCGTTGAAGTTAGGGTTGTCTGCTTGTGAAATGTCTTTTTTTTTTTGGTTAACAATTGTGAAGTCTCCTAACAGTATATATAATACAATCTAATCTTGGGGTCAGATTGTGGTATGGTTAGAGCAGAAAATCAGGGTTATGATGTTAGGATGGGTGTATAATATGAATGGTAACACAAAAGACAACCTAAAGACAACACCAAGTAGATATAAAATAAAATGAAGGGGAAAATAGTGAGATTGAAACATCATTGACAGCAACAAGAAGAGAACAGAGGCATAATATAACTTCAAAATATCAACAATATTTATTACCTGGTCATGCAGAAAACGAAACTTGGACTGCCAGGAGATGACTTTCTAAATTTGCTATTAGGAGGGTAAACATCAAATAACTTCATCAATCCTTATATTATTGATTATCACTTTGATCTTCAGTGTGCCTTCACCATTACAATGAGGATAAGAGTGGAAAATTCAAAGAACATCATTACATCACTTACAGAGTCTCTTCAATTGAGCAATAGATCTTACTGCTGTGGACTATTCCTATTGTTGTCCACATGCTACCCTTCTTCCCAACTACCTCAGCCATTCCCATCTCATCATCCCAATGGGCCCTCGAAATATTTTTCCTAATGAAAAAATACACAATTAATTGTTAAAACACAATGATCTAAAGAATTTATAAACAGTTTTTCATCAAAAGTTCTACCTAAACTGCAACTTGGGTATATCACCGGATGTAAAGTAATGTTCTTCATCATTTGTGTTTGGCACACAAACCTCAGAATCACTCATTCCACCTGAAGAACTTGCCCATTCCTCAACCTACATCCCACTAATATTTGTCAAATAACTTATCAACAATAAATGCAAGATTAAAATCCCATAAAGACTTTGGTTCTCAAGGACAGAGAATCATAGTATAAGATTTCCTTCAATATAGTGAAGATACTGAATTGTAACATTCAATAGCTCTCCTTGGCAACCTCTAATTGCTGAATTAGAGACTTAGTAAAGTGAACCTTTAGTTCATACAGGCCACAATAACGAAAAACTTTCTATTGAAACTCATAAAAAAAAATATGTATTTCTAAGCATTTTCACAACATTTCATACAAACCAAGACAATCAAAAACATAGAAAAAAAACTATGAAAATGATAATTGCACAAAGTCCCAAACATCTAAATTGTTGACTAATACTAATTTGATAGGCCTTCTCTGAACAAAGTCCCAATCACCTTAAACAGTGAGTCAAGTCTAAGATTTTTTTTTTTTTTTTTAGTACACTAAAAAAATTCATTTTGAAAAGAATTCTTCAAATTATTATCTTTTTAATCCAAGATTAATCTTTTCTTTTCAATCCCAAACATAGGAATGAGTTGTTTATCTTTTCTTTTTTTCTTTTTTCTTTTGCACTGTGAAAGAAAAATTCTTTGATAAATTTATTGACTTGGAATTGTGTTCAAATTCAATCAAGGAAATTGATTTTTAATCAACAGAGGGTTTTTTTGATGGATTTCTGAGTTCTAATACCGTAAATTTCGCAATTTTGTTATTTTTTCTCTTCCTCATTTGTTCTTTGTGTTGTTAAATGTTTGATTTCATTATGATTTTGTTGTGTGTTTTAGAGCTAATCCACAATTTCGAACCATATCTTTAGATTCAATCAAAGAAATTGATTTTTCTTCTACATAGGGTCTTTGGAACATGGATTTCTGAGTTCTAATATGGTAAATTTCGTTGTTTGTTTGTTTGTTTGTTGTTGTTGTTGTTGTTTTTTTTTTTTAATTATATTCTTATTTGAAAATCAAAGTGTACAAAATAAAGTAAGTGCTACAATGTTTTTGGGTAAGTTCTGATTTTTCTATCGTTCTTCTTGTTATCGATTCCATTTTCTTTAGTTTCTATGATTACCATGATGTGTGGGTATTTTTATTTTGGGCATTCATCCAGGTATGACTCTTAAATTTTTGAGTTTTGTGTAGATCAATAACTTAATTTGTGTGATTCAGAAAATTTTAAGGGTTTATTATTTAGCTTTGTAATTTGTCTATAATATTTTTTTTATTTTTGAGTTAATTTTTATGGATTTTATATGTTGTTAAACTTTTAGGGTTTGTGCAAATAAAGAATTAAAAACTCAATTTGTGTGATTCAAATTTTTTTTTGGTGTTTTCCTATTTGGCTTTGAAATGAATTTTGAAGATGTGTTTAATGCCAACAATTGAACTTCAAAACCCAATTCTAGCTCTGACGGGCTAAACATATAATCAATATTGTGATGGAATTTAGTTCTTTAGGTTGAATACTAGAGATTTTGTTCTTTTTAAAGATAATATCCATTGGGTGTTTGAATTTTTTGTTTGAATTATTTGATAAAATACTTGGAAGACAAATTGCCACATAATCACTGATGTGGTCAAAAAGCAGTAGGTTAACATAGTTCCCTTTACCAACAAGTATGTTCTTGCTAATTCTCTTATTGGAAAAGTTTTGTATTTTGTCCTATCTTTGATTTTTGAGGAATTGAATAGATGATTAATTTGTTGGTGCAATTCTGTTTTTGTTACTTGCTTTGTGTGGTAGTTGTGCTTTGTCTTTGTTTTTGTCATGATCTTCCTTCTTTGATCATGAACGGAGGTATTGTGAGAGTTTGCCTAACAAAATCAAGGTTTCTTCTTTCTTTCCATGTACTAAACATTATGCCTTTCTTTTTTTTTTTTTTGGGTGCATAAAATGGGGGTTTTCATTTTTTTTTTTGGTTTATTTGCTTTAGGATTGTGAGTTTGTTGTGCTTTGTCTTCGTCTTCCTGCTTTGATTATGAACTTGCCTAACAAAATTAAGGTTCTTGCCTTCTTTCAGCTATTGTACATTATTTTATTTATTTATTTATTTGCATTAAAAGGGGGTCTGATTTTTAATTTTTCTTTGTTAACAAATTTTTTTTTTGTTTACTTGCTTCTTTTTCTATTTCTATTTTGAAGAGACGTGTGGTGGTTGTGCTTTGTCTTCGTCTTCCTTGTTTGATCATAAATGGGAATTCTATGAGAGGTCGACTAACAAAGTTAGGGTTTTTGCCTTTTTTCCAGATCCTATACATTTTTTTTTTTTTGTTGCTGCGTAAGGGGGTCTTGATTTTTTTTCCTGCCTATTTTTCATTTTTGTTTCTCACGATTTTTTTGTGGAACTTGGTTCTGTTTTTGTTTCTATTTAGAAGGGTTGTGGGGTGGTTTTGCTTTGGCTTCGTATTCCTTATGTTCATCAGCTAACATATTGTGTCACTATATTTCTTTACATGTTCCATAAACATCAACAATTTATTAAGATCACTCTTAAACGTTGATTTGAACTGTTAAAGATCCAATCTTTTCTCTTCATTGCTTTTTTTTTTTGGGGTTTGGAAAGGACTTTTGTTTGAGTTTCATTCATAAAAGAGAATTATACCACATTAGTATGAATCATGTTTTAATTTGATTGGGGGTCAGTGCCTTGGGCCATTATTGAGGGTTAAATAGAAATGTGAGGAAAACTACACATAGCCATTGGAGTCTTGGCCAATGGTTTGCTTCATACTTAGTGGTTTCATATTTCTACGTGATGTGAGTTTGCAATAAGTTTTATTATTTCCTGTGTTACCTTTAGTAGATTTTGTTACTTGCTTCATATTTTTTTCATTTGTGTATCATTTAATAAACAAATTCTAGGTGTATAACAACAATCATCTAGACATGGATATGCATTTCTTCTTTCTCTGGTTATGTGTGCACAAATATGGGATTTGAGAGAGTTGTAGGCTAAGATTACACTTTCTCGGTCTATTGCAGGGAAATAATGGATTTTGTGACAACAATATAGTTTACCAAATACATAGGATTAACAAGATCAAGGTGAGTACCTTCTAATTTTTAGCTATTATAATTTCTGAAACCTCAAATTAAAGGTAATTGTTACTTGATAATTTGTATACATAATATTTCAGATAATCGTTATAATGATCTCAAGCATTATATGTTCATTATTTTAACTTAGACAAAACAAAAACTGCATTGAATAAATTATACAACAAAAAGTGTACCCTTTATGAAGTAGGCTACTTTTAAGTTTGAAAACAATTTGTTAATTTTAACAAACAAATGTTTGCATTTCGAATGATCAAGTCTAAAACATTTGGTATAATTTCCCAATTGCACTTTTGTTTTCATTTTTCTTATCTATCCAGTGCATTTCTAATTATGTTTAAAATACATGTTTTGTTTTGTGTCTACATGTTGGGAGGTGGGAAATGATGTTTGGAAGAAGTTATTTCACAATTGATTATTTTATTTTTTCTTCTACCAAATATCTTAAATTAATATGCAAACTCAGTAATACCGATTAAATTTTCATGCTTAATGTTGACTGCCCATTTATTTTTTTTGTTCTTTGTTTTTAAATACATTTTAAAAAGCACTTGAATGTGTATTTCATACTTGGGACTGTTGATGGGCTAATACACTGGTAGACTGGTTTTGATCACAAAAAACTTGAATGAATGTGCTCAAAACATAGGGAATGAATGTGCATTTGAAAGTGTACAACCAAACTTTGAGTTAAGAGAACTAGGTGATTGCATGAAAGGCCTAGCAACAGTTTAACTGCTTCTACTTGCTGTTTAAGCTTGGTTGTTGTGCGTTGCATTCATTGTTGGTTTGAGTTGAATTGTTATCAACTCTATTTGTATTTGTTTGTTTGCTGCTAGGAGTGCACATGATTGGTCCACCACTAGGTACCAACACAGTTGGGATGAGGTGTTTTGGACAATGATGCAATTTTTTTTCCTCCTAGATCATTGTAATATATTCTCCCTTTCTTTTGCCACTCAAAAACAAATCTGTGAAATAACCTTGGTTATGTTAATGTTAATCTTTTCAGTAACCATTATGAATTGTTTTTTCCCTCTTGCGAATATTTGAGTTTATTACGAACTTTTTCTTTTCTTTTTCATGGCTGAGCAAGTAAGTGAATCAAAAACTACATGCCAAGCTAAGAAGGCTTCCGTCTGGAATGTAGTCAGTTCACTGTGAAGATCACCCTTCCAATTCTACAAGTGTGAAAAATGACCTTAGTTATTTTGTCACATTTCTTTTTTCTTTTCCAAGTGAGTTCACCATGAGGATCGCCCTTCCGAGTCTACAAGTGAAAAATGACCTTGGTTATTTTGTTACACTTATTTTTGAGTATTACCAGTTATGTTTATCTCTTGTGATATATTGAAATTTAGAGAGAAATTCTCTTGCAATTGTTTTCCACTAAATAGATAGCTTAAGTTTATATGTACATAATGTTTTTCTCTCCGTATAATTTTCTACTCTAGACTTAATATGTTTATAAATTTCAGTTCTAAACACAGATGTAATGGGCACTAGCTGGGCATTAGTTAGTGTGCCTTGCACACATCCCTTTAACTAGTATATATATAGAGCACCAATGTATAGTGAATAGTGTTTTCTGTCTTGGATGGACAGTAACATTTTGCCCCTTAAAAGCCTAAAAACAAAGAGGTATGCTAGAGACCCAAAATGATTTATCAAATTTTTTACCAAATCTCTCATATGCGTATGGGACCCACACACACGTGGATTTGTGTGGGGCCTATGTTGCACGGACATGGACACGAGACACGACACGGACATGCGGACACGCAAATTTTCAAAAAATAGAAGACACGACACGCTGGGGACACGTTTAATATATATAATTTTATTTATTTATTATATGTCTAAAATTTAAAAAAAAAAATTATTAGTTCCTATACAATTATAATAATAATAATAAAATTAATAAACATATTTCTTAAAAAAATTTAATAAAAATTGATTTTTTTTTAAATAAAAATAATTTATTCTATAAATTTTAGGTTTAATAAAATAAAGATAAAAGAAAAAAAAAGGAAGGAGAGAGAGAGAGAGATGTAATCAGGAAATAAAAAGGAAGGGAAAGAAACGGGAGGAGCAAAAGAGAGAGAAGTGAAAAGCAGGGAGTGAAATCAGAAAGAGATAAGAGAATAGAACAAGAAAAGAGAGACGAACTAGAGAAGATGAATCAGAGAAGAAGACGAGCAGAGAAGATGAACCAGAGCAGATAAGACGAAGAAGATTCAGGTTAGGGCTTCTTTGATTCATTTCTTTTGAACCGATTAGGGTTTTTTCGTTCAGTCAATCTCTCCCACGTTCTGTTTCCCTCTTTCTCTCCAACAGCTCAGGGTTCTTCGATTCGTGTCCAGAAAGTGTCATCGCGTGTCCAACTGAAAAAATTCAAAGAAAAAAGAGGACACGTTAGAGAGTGTCGGACACGTGTCCACAGCGTGTCCGACGCGTGTCCATCTCCGACACGTGTCTGACACTCGTACGCCAGCCTTGGGAACGTGTCGGTGCTTCATAAAAAAAGAGGACACGTTAGAGAGAGTGTCGGACACGTGTCCATAGCTTGTCCGACGTGTGTCCGTGTCCGACACTCGTACGCCAGCCCGAGGAACGTGTCGGTGCGTCATAGTGTGGGGCCCATATCCATGTGAGAAGTTTGGTAGAGACCCAAATGATTTACTAAATTTTTTATCAAACCTTTTATATAAGCATAAAACCTACGTACATATGAATTTATGTAAGTCCCACACCATGTGAGAAGTTTGGTAAAAATTTTAATAAATCATTTGGGTGATAGCATTTTCCAAAAAGAAAACCAAGAAAACACAAATCACGCTTGTGTTGCCTAGAGAAGAGAGAGAGAGGGAGAGAGAAGAAATCGAAGGAGACGGAGGAGGAAGACCCACCGGTGACTACTACCACTGTCGACATCTGCAGCGAACGAGGTCTTGCACTTCTCCCTCCTGCCAGAGTTCTCACACTCCCCTCTCCTATCGTTGAGGTTCGTTTTTCAGAAGTTAGGGTTTTCATACATACAATATCTGATTTTTGTTTTTAATTTTTCTCCTTCTTTGTTCATCGTTTTTCTCTTGTGAAAATAGTTTTTTTGGAATAATTTTTGTGAGTTGCAAAAAAAATTGCAAGGACCAAACACTAATTTTACCTATTTTTTTGGGCCTCAAATCATAATCCCAACTGAATAATATGATATTTTATACCTAAATCGACTAAAGATTAGCCACATTTCCATCCTTATTATTTGAAAGTTGGAAAAATCTGCAACTAGGGTCTCTCATCAAGCCATTTGTCCTGCCAGAAATTAATATTCTTGCCATCCCCCAACTTTAGACTAAAATTTTCCCTGAAGAGTTGGAACTTGTCAAAAAATTTCCATTGGATAGAAAAAACTCCTTTCACACGTTGTAAAAGATCTATTTTCAGACGAAGGTTCCAACGATTAATTAGATCATTGGAATTATTGAATCAATACTTTGTAGTACAGTGTGATCATTAAACCTAACCCGAAACATTACTTGCATTCATGCACTCAAAATCTATTTCAAATATTAAAGAAAACACTACTATGCTCCAATGATGATTTTTATTTATTTTTTATTTTTTATCTTTTAAACATAGAATCCAATTTTGCTTCTGCTTCTTGTTAATCTAGAACTGATGTTGTGGAATGACCATCGGTGATCCAATTTAGTGAATGCAAGTTGCTAAAAACATCTAATAGCAAACTAGACCTTATTACCAGAAGCTAATTATCAAATATGAAAGGCTCAAAAAACTAAGCTTGTGGGTTTGGTCTAGCTTTTAGATGTGAAATTCCCTCGCTATGTAATTTGCACCATCTTGCTGATTAATTTTCTCTTTGAATTTTGAATGAGTCAATTTGCATGCATGCTCAATGTTTGAACTGCATAAAACACAATGATTTGAATCTAACCCTCATAAGAATTTGCTTGTAGGTATGTTCTCTATTTCCTTCTTTTCAAGCAGATGATTAGCTACTTATCTTAGCTCCAATCCATGCAAATAAGGATGTCTGATAATAGTTATTATGGTCTACCTTTGTATTGTTTTTTTATGTTATTTTATTTTTCCCCATTAAACTATTAAATAAGAAGGGCTGATAACCATTCTATTTATTGTTTTTAAATTATTTTTTTATGCTTTAAGCAAGTAGAATAAAAGTTCTGCAAACAAATCATGTTTGATTATTCACATGATCTTGATCTATTTGGTATGCATTTAGATTGAAGGAGTTGATGGGATCTAGAAGGTAGTATTTGATTTGAAATGCTAAATTATGAAAACTTGATATTTCATTCTAACAAATATAATGCAGAGCAACTCTGGTTGAGGATTTAATAGAAAATTCAGTTCATGGAAGAGATGGTGTGGTAGGACTCACAGCATTACATACAAGCATGGTTTGGCCCATCTTACACATAATATACCAAGTAAAAGTGGGTTCACAATTGATGAGGGATTTCAAGTCCTGCCATTAAGGATTATTGAGTACTTGTTCATTTGTCAAATAGAGAAACAATTGCTTTATTTTTATTACATCATATTTTTAGGAATGACAATTTTGTTGGGAAAATAGATCTTGTAATAGGTTTTTTTTTTTTTTTTTTTGGTATAAGTAATAGTATTTGTTAAAAACTTGGTATTGTTCAGTCGATCTTGTTGTATTCATGATCAAGTTGCTAATTTTGTGTGTTTTATGCAATAGCTCAAAACTCATGTAAATGCACAAATGTAATGGGCACTAGCTGGGCATTAGTTAGCATGCCTTGCACGCGGCCCTTTCACTAGTAAATAATAACGTACAAAAGAGGTTTGAAAAGCAGCGAAACTCCCCTTCTTTGTCCTCACACATGCTTGACCTCGCCTCAGTACCAGCTCTGCTCTCTCCGGAACTTGTCTTAGGACATTGTAGTATTATTCTAAAGCCCTCCAATCCAACACTCTCTGCCTTTGCCCCCAATACAATCAATCATTTTCATAAAAGGTGATTCCCTGTTATTAGTTTGAATTTGGTAACTCTGATCTATATTGATTTTCTTGAATTTCAACCTCTTCTTTTAGTTTATTGTTATTGTTAGGTGGTTGGTGTAAAATTTTAAATTTCAAGTTGTGTATATGCTTGTGTTATTGTTAAATTGAATTACGATTCTTAGGTCAGAATCAAAATTTCACAGTTTGTATAGCCCATATAATTGAGGAAATAAAAGCCAGAAAAAAACCTGATTTTTTTCCCCCTTTGATATTCTGTCAATAGCAGTTACATTAATAATCTTGCCCCTCAAATCAAGAACAAGCCTCAAAGGAATAATAAAAAAAATAAATAAACAATAATTCTTTGAAAAATTGAAATTGTTTTACATTTGGGTGTGGAATTAAAACCTACTACCTTCTCATGTGTGTGTGTATGTACATGGGGTATCTAAGGGAGAGAATCCATAGATGCAATCAGTGCAAGACGAAAAAAATCTATACATGCAAATAAGCCTTTGTCAGAGAAAGAAGGATAAAAACACAACTGAACAATCTAGTGGTATGCCATGGAGGCCGGTTGACCGTTTGATGAATTTAAAATTTTGTGTTGTTAAGCCTCATGGGTGTCCCTATGTACTCAACTCAAAGTTGCCTCTAAAACTTTTGGTCATTCTGTGTGTTACTTGAGTTGGCTGAAAATTGAAGCATAGATTGAATTTGTTGGTCACCCAAATATTTTTTTCCCCCAAATAGTATCTTATATTTTAAGTAATGAAGGTTTAAGTGATAATTGATATGTTTACTTACATTTTAAATAGCCTTGAAATGTTAACCCTCATTCAATTGGTGTTGTCTGATTTAGTGAGAATTCCTTTTTCCCTGATATTTGATGTTATAATTCTGTCTACTGATATTAAGTTTGGCTTTGAAATAAGTGTATCTCTTGTTTCAATTGGACTTGTTTTGCTTTTGCTGTTGTAAATTTCATTAATGTGTACAATCACATTTTAGTCATTTAGACATAAAATTTTAGCCCATTGTAGCACTTGAATAGGTATAACCAAACTTTGAAATGAGAATGGTTATACCATTCACATGTCATTTTCAAGTTGGCAACCAAACAATGAAGTGGGAACATCATTCCATTCTCACAACATTTCATTACCTCATACCAAATGTGGTCTAAGGACTTTTCTCCTTCATTTTCTCTATTATTTACAGACATTTTCCAAGTTTAATCCAGAGTTTTGGGACTTGTTTGTTACTGAAATGGAAACGAAGCTGATAAGTTCAAAATCAGAAGAGAAACACATTGGCGATGACTCATCCTCAGGTTTAGTTTTGGAGAAGAACAAGGAGAAGAAGAGGAAGGGAATGACCATAGGAGGTTACCCAATTGAGGGTCTGTCAATAGCAGGGCATGAGACATGTATAATCCTCCCGACCCTCAACTTGGCTTTTGACATCGGCCGGTGCCCACAACGTGCCATTTCTCAACAATTTATCTTCATCTCTCATGGTCACATGGATCACATTGTAAACAGCTCTGCTTACCCTTTTCTATATATACAAATATACGACGTACATACAAAAATGTATACAAAATATATGTTTGTGTTTGTATGTATGGTTTTTTCTGTTATCTTATTAATCTCGGTCTATACTAGTACTTGCAATTGAAATTTTGTTTGTTATCGGAACCATTTTTATCATAAATGAAAAACTGTTTCAGTCAGTGAAATTCGGTTTCATCTTGGCTAGTCTAAGATTTTGCTAGTTCCAAAATGTGCAACTTTTTGAGTTCTCCTTTTCTTTGGTGTGTAATGCACATATGAAATGCAACTTTATTCATGTCTATCTATTCAGGGGTATGTGTGTATACATGTGTATGTTTTTCTCGATTAGCATATGTGTTTTAGTAATTTGCATCTCCTATCTACTTGTTATTTAAAATTTCATCTATGTTTGGAATAACTTGTAGGATAGATACGGAGATGTTTATACTTAGTGAATTATCTTTTTGTAATATTAAAAAAATAAAAAATAAAAGGTTCTGTTAGTCCAGTGCTGTGTGATTCTTTGACGAATAATGTATACTGGACGATTTTTCTTTTATGATTGAATGATATATGCCAGTTATTACTTCCTGCACTTTTGTGCAAGAATGAGAAATTTTTGGGGTTTATATCTAAATAATCTCAAAGAAGATATAATTAATTTTCTGGCGCATTGTTTTAAAGGTACTTCTAAATACAACAACTCCATTTTTTTTAACACTCACTTTTCTTTAAGGTACGGTGTTCTCAGATTTACTATTTATGTGGAGGCTGTAATGAGAAATTTAAAGGGTGTATTTAGAAGCTTCATTGTTTTGACTGCATGGAGAAGATTGATTAACCACTTACTGCGGCATGTTCCCCTACTTAATGTACATTCATAAAGGAAGGATTGTTCTCCAAGGAGTCCAAGCATAAATAACACAAACTTTTCTATAATTTATTACACAGGAAAATGTGAAGGATAGCTCACAAAGTTTTCAAACTGTTTTGATACAATGCAACTAAGCCAACTCAACCCCTACCCTCTCCCATGTGCAAATTAAAAACTTTATTTGAATTGATACTTCGTTCTTGATATTTTTCCTCTCCAGATTGTTGTAATTTTAGCATCCCAGCTGTCTCCATCACTTCAGGAGTTTGATATAAATTATATCTTCTGAATCCGCAATTCTTTGCCAACCTCAGTTTCTCTGTTAATTGTAGTTTCCAGACTAAACTTTACACTTAAATATATTTGCTGGGTACCAAAATTTTATTATTTTGATGGAAATAAATGTTTTTCATCTTGTGGTACTGCTACTTCTGACATTAGTTTTTATTCACAGGGAGGACTGCCTATGTATGTGGCAACTCGTGGCTTATACAGAATGGCACCCCCAACAATTATTGTACCAACAGCTATAAAAGAGAATGTGGAAAAACTCTTTGAGGCACACAGAGCAATGGATCACTCAGAGCTGAAGCATAATCTAATTGGCTTGGGTGTAGGTAATGTCTAATTTCTAGATTGCTTTTGTCACTTGAGTAGCTTAGTCTTCTGTTCTCCCTTCTTTTGGCTTAACTCTAGATACTGCTATATTTGAAGGAGACGAGTTTTATTTTATTTTTTTTGATAAATTGAAGGAGAAGAGTTTTATTTGAGAAAGGATCTTAAAGTAATAGCATTTAAGACTTACCATGTCATACCAAGCCAGGTAATGTTATGTTTTCTCTTCTGTTTATCCGTAATATACACCCAGGGATGATATTTTCTTTAAGCCCTAATTATGTACCAATGGATGTTCCACATGTCCCAGCAGGGTTATATAATTTACTCAGTAAGACAGAAACTTAAGCAGGAGTACATTGGTCTCCCAGGAAGTGAGATTAAGAACTTGAAGTCATCAGGTGTGGAGGTTTGTCTTGACTATGGTTGCTTTTAGCATGTTAGAATAATGTTTTTTGAGTTTTTAGGATGTTAACTATTTTAAGTATCCTCATAGATGAAACTCTGTGGCCACCTATATCACTATTTATTTAAGTTCAATTTTTTCCTCTCATGTTTTCTTTCTTTCCTTTTCTTTTCATATCTTAGAGAAATATTGAAAGAGATATGGAAAAGTAGTGGCCATGAAGGAAAACCGGTGAACATTTTCCGGAACTTTTTATTTTTTATTATGTTTTAAATTCTTACAACTTCTCTTCTACCAACCTGTTTTACCTCAAACTATTGTATTTTAGTATATGCCCTATTCCAATCATGGCACGTTCTTGGTGGTCCTCGAAAAGATTGAATAAAAGTTGAGGAAAATTCATTTTCTTCTTTCTTTCATGAGTTAAATGGAACTAAAATTTAAGGTTTTGAATTTCTGGATTTCGTCATTATCGAAGAAAGGAATTGTTTTTTGTCCGTTGCCAGATTCCTCGAAGTAGTTTTTTAATATTTTGTTTCAACCAGTTCAAATATGGTCTAGTATCATGGCTTGTAAAATATTCCCTTTCTTATAGACCTGATCAGAGATAGAAGGTTTTATTTATTTATTTATTTTTAAAAAATATTTGATCAGCAGAAAGAATTGAATCCATTACCCACCCCCTCCATGTTACATGACATTTTAGCACTGTACTGTCGTGCTTTAACAGCATTGGAAAGTTTACTTTTAGAACTGGTTGGGAGCATAAAGACCAATTTCAGCATCACCTTTTCCCGAAAAAATAAAAAGGGAATCGACGATAAGATTTTTAAACTATGTTGAAGCAATTGTTTTCTAATTGCAAGACAACATAGATGAACCTTATGAAGTTCCCCTGGCACCATTATTTTCTTGTTAGAAAGCCTATGTTATACATGATCGAATTTTCACTTTGGCAGATTACATATGCTATTACAATGCCTGAAATTGCTTTTACGGGAGACACCACGTCTGACTTCATTGTTGATGACACAAATATTGACGTCTTGAGGGCAAAGGTTCTCATTATGGAGGTACAACTCATTGGCTGTTATTTAGTCTCTTACTCATCTGCTTAAGCTTAATGGTTACTCCTTTTGTTCATATCGTCATAAAATCCATTTTTTCATTTTTATTTTGCATAGCGATTTAATATTGATTTTTTTAATTTCTAAATTTATCCACATTTTAGTGAGGTAGAAGTAGGGTCAAACTAATAATAGGAGCTTCGGCCAGTGGAAGAAGCATGTTACTGTCTGGTGCTTTGGTGTATATGATGTATGACGAGGGAATTACAACTTTCTCCAGATAAATCTATCTGTCCACTAGGTCTAACAATTTGAGATAAGAAGTTAGTTTTACCATTCATTTTTGTTTTTTCTTTTTTTCCACGCACTGGTGGTGGTGTCATGGAAAAAACAAATGACTTGGGTTACATTCTATGTTTTGGTTGAACCTGGAGTAACATGGGCTGTAGATATAATTTTGGAAAGGAATTTAAAGTTAAGAATTGATTCTAATCGCTGTTGGATGTGAAGGATAGAGGGCCCATAAATCAGAAGAATACCCAAAATTTACAAACTGCACTAAATCTTGCAATAATGTAGGGAGACACTAAGATTACGTGAGTGATGTAGTCTTTGATCTCTTAAATGGTTTAGAGCTTATAGGCTTTTATGGTTCTAAGGTTTGTGAAGACAAAAGGACATATAATGGGCTTTCAATGATTATTTTTTTTTAAGAATGGATGACACTTGGTGGATTATAAACTGCTATTTTTCTGGAAAAATGTCTTGTTGGGGGTTTTCAGACAGAAATAAAGAGAAGTAGAATAACAAGGAGAAGGAATGGAAGCAGACAAAAAGCACACAATCTTTGTCAACCAAACTTTTCAAACTTCATCAAATTACTTCAATATCATTTGGCATGGTAGCTTCAGTAAGAGATGTAAGATAAGGAGGAGAATTTCAGGGTGGAAAAAGGAAGAAGAAAAGAAAACACTATAGATAAATACAAAAGAATTGCCATTGTCATTAATCTAATTTCATTTTGGTATAGCTGACCTCATAAAATTCAGTATGATACATTTCTAAATTATATGCGAGTCAGCATCACTTTGAATAACTTTTCTTTGTTTCGTCTCCTTGTTTCCAGAGCACCTATGTTACAAACTTAGAGACAGTGGAGAACGCAAGAGATTATGGACATACTCATTTGTCTGAGGTTGAGTATCTGAAGGCTTTTTGTTGTTTGCATTATTTCTTATTCCTTGTGAACGTTTTAATCTGTATTCGTCTGGGCATCTAATGCTTCTCTATTTTTGTTTTTACCTTTTTGCATTATAATTCCAGATAATCAGTTATGCAGACAGGTTTCAGAATAAAGCAATTCTTTTAATCCATTTTTCTGCGCGATATCAAGCAGATGTAAGTTTCTATTTTCTCTAGTATATGATTATTTATTTGTTCTGCGCCTTTTTAACTTTTATATGGTTTAAAACAAGGAATATGATATAATGTTTAAATGAATATTTATGGCTGGCACACAATAATTAAAAATAAAACATGTGGACAAATTGGCTGGGTTGAGGTGGTACAATTAGAGTATTGTTCTCTGCTTGCCACAATTGATCCTATAAAAAAACTTTCTTTTTTCTGCTTTGGTGCTGTGCTCATTGCACAGATCCATCTGGATTAAGCAGATAGGTCAACAAATTAGTGACTTGTACATATGGGTTGTTGGGTGATAGTCACAAATATGCTCATTTAATTTATGTTTTGTCATAATTAAGCTGTCAATATAATTTGTCAGGAAATCCAAAATGCTATGTCTATATTGCCTCCGGCTCTCGCTGACCGGGTTTTTACGCTTACAGAAGGTTTCTAATGAAAATGGGACAACTCAATATTAGGATTCCATTCTATCCATCAAAATTTTGCTTATATATTGAGCCAGTCTTATGCTGACCGGGTTTTTACGCTTACAGAAGGTTTCTAATGAAAATGGGACAACTCAATATTAGGATTCCATTCTATCCATCAAAGCAGATAGGTCAACAAATTAGTGACTTGTACATATGGGTTGTTGGGTGATAGTCACAAATATGCTCATTAATTTATGTTTTGTCATAATTAAGCTGTCAATATAATTTGTCAGGAAATCCAAAATGCTATGTCTATATTGCCTCCGGCTCTCGCTGACCGGGTTTTTACGCTTACAGAAGGTTTCTAATGAAAATGGGACAACTCAATATTAGGATTCCATTCTATCCATCAAAATTTTGCTTATATATTGAGCCAGTCTTATGCTGACCGGGTTTTTACGCTTACAGAAGGTTTCTGATGAAAATGGGACAACTCAATGGTAGGATTCCATTCTATCCATCAAAATTTTGCTTATATATTGAGCCAGTCTTATTTACTATTTTCCCCTATGTAACGAAATTTGAACAGCAGATTTATGCATAATTCATTACTTAAAATTTACTTTCACTTGTATTGATGGCATTTTAAGCTGTGCTGGTTTTTTTGTAAAGATGTTTTCAGAGGCACCTTGTAGTAGTCATTTAGCAGTAGCAACTATGCATATATGAGCTAGAAGATTAGCTGCAGAAAAATGTGTAGTTCTCAATAGCAAACCAAACCATATGTTATGAGGCAATTTTTTACTAATTACATGTTAGCCTTTTGAAGAGTTTTAGCCCTCATAAACCTTGAAATTATCACGTCTCTAGTGTCGATTCGTTTTGATTGATGGCGATGGGCTCCGTTTTTTCTTGAGCCAATCTACTACATGTTTCAGACTCTGAATTGTCACAGTTTGCTTTGTGTCTTAATGAATTTGCTTCATAGGGTTAACAAGTGCTGTTCTGTCATAATATTTTCAGTCACTGGAACTGTCTTTGAATTACTCTATTCCTTTGGCATCCTCAACTGTGAAATTTGATCTCTACAAGACCCTTCGATTCCAGCACTTAGGACCCCCTACAATCCAAACTGTACTTGACAACAGACTTTCTAGGTTTTTCTCTGGCTTCGTGACTGTTGCCTTTAAGACAGAGATGGTTTCTCCAGAACAGGATCTGATTTTCCCTCTTTTTTCTTCAATATTGGGAGAGCAAGTATGAATTGCAAAGACTGAATGGATCAGATCTGGACACAGCTGTTTACGTACAGAAAAGTGCAAAATTTGGGAATTTTTGGTGCAAGCCTTGTTTGTCTTGGAAAAGATATAAAGGCAATTAATTAGTCAAAACTCAAAACAAACTAATGACCAAATATTAATGCCATCTCTAATTTGATGCTATTACTCGGTTCTCTTCATGCAGTATTTTCTGTTCAGCATTACATCACTTTTCCCAAAAGTTAAAATTACCCAGAAACAAAATATAAAAATTACCTCATAAAATTGCGCATTTTTATTTTTATAAAAAAAAATAATAATAATTTTCATTTATAGGTAAAACATGGTTAGTCAATACCTTAATGTTGTGTTTGGTTGGGGGATTTGGGGAGGAATTTGGAAAGAGAAAGGGAAAAGGTGTGTAAAATTAGGTGAAATGTAGGTATATTTTATTAATATTTTACCTAATTTTTTTTTTTTTCATTTTCAAATCCCTTCTTAAATCCTCCAACCAAACACAGCGTAAATGTAACTAGCTACTTATCTGTCTCAAATACAAATCACAAACTCCTCACGCTGTCTTCTAAGACAAAGCAACATCACATCAATGAACTCACGACACAATGCAAGCTAATCTTATAGGTTCCCAAGCATGCTATAACAGGTGCCGCCAATGAGGCTTAGCCAGGTCACCCAGATGGCTTCAGGTGAAGATAAGCAAGAACAGAACTTGTGGCAGCAGGATTCTGATAAACAACTGTCATGAATGACAAACTCAAAATTTAAACATGTGACTTTAAGCAAATAAGCGACTGTTGTGAATGGTGGACTCAATTAAAACACGAGACTTTTAATGGAGGAAAACAAGAATCAAATGTAACTGAGTTTTCAACATGGCATGGTTGAAGAGCAAACTAGCTTCTATTAAATGTTTCAATCTTGCCAGTAACGCCAGCACCAAAAAATACAGCTGAAAACCTCATGGGAATCGCTCTCCCCTTTTTCAGTCACTTTCCAGAGCCACCAAGTGATCGTTTCAGTTCAATAGAATAAGCCAGAGACGTTTTAATTCTTTTATCTACGAGAGAATCATCAAAAGTCATAGTCATGCATGCTATCAACGCTACAAGACCATTTAGTCATTGACATCATGTCTTTTAATCCTCCCAAAAACATAGTTACCATGAATCTACTTTCCAACTTATATGGTATTAACACACTAATATTAATCATTAGTATTGTCCTGATTTTTTGCATCTTGTATGCATGTTTCCATCTTGGAAAATCCAGTTCCATTGTACAACAATCAATCCATGTTTCCTAAGTCAACTACAAAATTGTTGTTGTTAAGTTAAAAAAAGAGCATTCCCCATTTCATTTTCAAGTTAAATTAAGGAAGAAGTTAAAGGAGCACCTGAACATTAAATCTGCAGCGTCTACTATTAAAGCTGGTGGAGAGACATAGAATATGATTTTCAGTTCCTGCCCCTTGTGAATGACTCATCATCTTGCCTAATAACCCATTACCATAAATTAAAGAAACTTAAACCATTACTTTTTTATCATCTTGCCTACTACTCCAAAATTCAGAACCATTTCCAACCAACTCTCCTTAATCCTAATTTTAGCAAGCCCCTGGTTCCCTTCCATTTTTCTAACCCTTACACTGTAGAGATGATCATTCTGATGATATGCGAGAAACTACTTGTTTTAAACACAAAATTGGCTGCTCTTCAACTACCATGCCAACTAATAAGCACAGAAAATTTTATAAGGAAAATACAAAGGCCTTCCACTACAGTCAAAACAACAATTTTGAAGTATAGTACTCACTTGATGACAACACACTCAAAAATAAAAATTGTAATCTCAAAGATGGGAACAAAAACTAGAGGGAGTTCTGAACATTCATGTGTTAGTAGTGAATCCAGCAGCAATGCAATTTTAACTTTCACTAGCTCCAGTTCATATAAAAAAGTACAACACCAATAGTTAAATATCATACAAAATATATCAACAAGTATATGATATATCAACGAGTATTCGTACCTCTAACTTCAGGTCTCAAAGTTTCAATTAGATTTGCCATGGAACAACATAATCTAGCTTCCAAAGCTAAAGAATTAACAAGTCCCTCTATAGACCTCAACTCTTCATGAAACTTGGGATGCAACACCAACGAAGAGAAATGCTCGTCCACCACTAGCCCCAAACATTTCACAATGTCTTCAAGCGTAGGGACCCATTCACAAGCTTTCAACCCCAACATAGATGGCGCTTTAGGACACGGACCTACTTAAGGAAATCTCTCGTACTTCTTCAACCACTTTCCCAAGTACTGAATCAATCCCATCATCTCCAAACCATTCAACTTGCTAATACAAGAAGACAAAATCACCTCATCGAGGTTTGAAGACGCAAGCAGATAATGCAAACACAATTCATCATGTGCTGCCATGAGCAGAACCGAGGCCTCTTTTGCCAGGTTCAGTTTCTTCCCACTAAGTTTCTTATCCATTGCCTTTTCCATAGCCAATAAAGCTTGGCCCTCCCATTCCTTCCTCACACTTAGCATACTACTATATGCACCTTAACAAATAATAGACTTTATGTTAGAAGGATGAACCTCTACTTTTCAGATAAAAGTAACCTGTCACATATGCATACGAAATAAATGTGCAAATATTATTGGACGATGATACCAATAACATGGTATTACCATTACATTGATATTTTTTGTCGTATCTAAGAACAATGCCACTAGTAAGATATGTCTTGGATTGTATTCAATACTTGTGTTAAATATTTTGAACACTTTATGCATTACTTGTTGCCTCTCAATTTCTTTTTGCACACCTTGGTGTCACTTCGTCACTTAAAAATAATAAATTTGTCTTTTTAAACTGTTGGTTTAGCCCAATTCATCAAAAATTTGAACAACGGTTTATGTTTAGTCCATTTAAATAAAAAGATCAACTTTTCATTGTCTTGGGCAGAGTTGTTGCCTGAAGAAGGCTATGCATGGCTCAAGGAGAGGGCACAATCTTAGAACTTGCTAAAGTATCAGTTTAGACGCCCTATCAAAACGTATCAAATGGACCTTTGCCTTCTCCTTGAACCATGCATCAATAAGTATCAGTTTAACTCTCTAAGGTATCAAATCAACCTCTTAATCTATAAAAACATATAAATGAATTTCTTAAATTATAAAAACGTACCAATTAGACATCTTAATAAAAAAGGTTAAAGTGAAATAGACCAAAAATTTAAGAGATAGACCAAAAATTTAAGAGATCTATTTATATGCTTTTATAGTGTAAGGGACAAAAAGGATATTTCTTAATAATTTAAGATGTTCATTTGTACGCTATTATAGTTTAAATGATTAAAATGATATTTTTTAATAGTATAGAAGGTTTTCATGTAAATACTATTTATAATTTTTTTATCAAATCGTACCCACCCACACTCCTAATAGACACTTCAAAATCAGTGTCTATGTTAGTATTAGACATGTATAGAATAAAGATACGTTGAGGATATTCATGTTCACGTATCCGCCATGTAAATATCATTTTTTTTATTTATTTAATATTATTATGTTTTTTTGAGAACACTTCACAATGTAAGTGTCATGTGTTTAGATATGCCTTATGATACCTTTGTGAGTATTTATTTTACAATTTTTAAATTTTAATTTGAGATCAAAATAAAATATATTAAAACAAAAGAAGAAAGTGAAAAAATAAAAAAATAAAAATATTCACATATACATTGATTCCTCTAATATCTATGTGCTTTTAGATTTAGATTTATATACATAACCCCCAAAAAAATAAATAAAAAAAACAGAAAAAGTCACGTCCACCCTATGTTCTATGCTCGCGCTCAATAACTTCTTTTTTTGATCCATGTGCTTCTCAGCCAGCCCTATTACAAATGCACAAATTCATGCACAAACTCATCTTAATAGAGAAATGGCTAGGGTACTTCTTTTGCTCTCATGATGCTCCCAAACCAATAAAAGCACTAGTCATGAATGAATGAGGTTGCCTTATGTCACCTGACCCAACTTGATTGGTTGGGTCGAAGACAAAGTGAGCTCCATTGGTCAAAAAGATGATGACCAGGCTTATGGAGCAGTTGATCTAGTAAATCCTAAACCATATATCCTGGTTCTTGCATTCAGTTACAAACAGCAAACCAAAAAAAAAGACAAAATAAAATAAACTTTGAATTAACAGGAAATCCCAAAACAAAATTTCCTTTTATTTTTTCCCGGATCAAAGAACATGCTTTGATGTTTGAATGTCATTGACTCATTTCTCTGTGATTGTTAACCACCCACCACTTCTTTTTTTTCACTTACTCTCTTTTTTTTCCCTCTCTCTCTCTCTCGTCGATTTCCTTTATGGGTCTTTGTCTATGCCGTGAGTTAGGTACTAGCAGGGGTTTCCCAATTTTGTGGCAAGGGACCAATATCATATATGATTTCTCTGTGGCATGACCAAACAAGCTTTATTGCTTCAGCAGTCCCTATTCCCGCTCCCCTTGGATCTCCAGACGGCCCAAACCTGTGCCATGTCATTTGTGTTCGGCATATTAAGCACTCAAAACGTTCCCCGTAAAGCAAAAAAAAAAAAAAAATTACTTATAATTCTTTAACTTACCAGTGATTTTGTGGAGCCCCCGATGTTCTTGCTCTTAATCCAGCATAGGTAGTTCCGTTAACTGATTTTCCAATAACTTCCTGCAAATTGAGTAAAATGATTATCCATTGTTTAAGATCATCAGACTATCAAACATGTAACATAGTACCTCAAATGAATCACAATTCACCAAAAACCAATGATATAGAATATGAATATGTTTACTCGAATAATCATCCAACGATACCAAAAACTTGCAAATGTGTCAATTTATGAAGTGATTCTCGTAAGGAGACCCAATTTGGCGAACCAAAATGTAAATCTTAATTTTTTCAAAGAATAAGAAAATAGTCCTCAAGTCTTGCCTGCAGAAACAGCACATCATTTGAAACAACAGCAGCTGTTAAATGGGCATGCATCTTTTCAAGGGCATCCAATACCATTGGGAGCTGATGATCCTTGTACTCGGTAACAACCTGAGATTTAAGAAATTGTAAGCTAGAATTAGCTTTCACATATGACAAAACAAAATTGATCAAATAAAAAAGAAATCTCTCTCTCTCTCTTTCTCTCTCTCTCTCTCTCTCTCAACACTTGTATAACCACTCCCCAACACTTGTATCCTTTTGTATATCTAATGCTCCTTTTGTTTCGCCGGAAAACATTTTCCATAATCAACAGAAGAAAACTTATTTGGGCGGGAAGAGGGAAACATTTTCTGGATTAAAGTCTTACTACTACCACCCCACTGCTGCCGCCTTCACCACTTCCACCACCCCATTACCAGCAGCACCACCGCCCTGCCGCCACCACCACTAATACAATTAGTAGCACATTATTTTCAAGGTTGTAACCAAACACTGGAAAATATTTCTTCGGATCACTTTTTCTGGAAAAAGTTTTCCATCGGAAAAGGTTTTTAGCCCAAACAAACAGAACGTAAGAAACTTCAAAGAGTGAATTTATACTGATTCATGCTTGTGGCACATAACAATTCCATTGCACCAGTCAAAAGGATCAGAGAAGCTTGCAACTCGTCATAGCCTTTACAAGTCACAAGAAACTGACAACATTTATTTCGATGTTTACTACTCCAGTTATCAGGATAAACTTCTATTTTCTACCTTTTTTTTAAGTACCCATCAAACAAATTAGACTAAAAAATGCCGAAACATTTAGCTGTATTGTTCTCTTATTTACCTGGAATGGTCCAAAAATTTCTCTTGTTACAAGCTCATAATTGCTGTCCTTCAGCATTTCTTCTATCGGAACAAAAACAGCAGTCGGTTTTATAGCACCATATATTGAAGGAATAGAATGGTCTTTTAAAGCTTCGCCTCCGAAGAGTACCTTTGATCCCGGTATCTGAAGCAATTTATTCACGTGCTCTAACATTGCTTCAGTTGTGAACTGCAACAACAAAAAGAAACACCAACTTAGGTATAAAATTTCAAGCATTGATATATGAAATGTGAATTAAAAATCCCATTCTTATCTTATTTAGATGAGCTTTGTCAAGCAGTTAAGAAAGATGATTTATGATAACTACCAAAAAACAACATAGGCAGACTTACTGTAAGAACAGGGCCAACAGTTAAATCATCTAATTTTCTTCTTGCAGCAAGATCATTCATTTGACTTAACAGTGAACTCTTAGACCAGTTCTGCATAAGGATACAATAAACAATTGTAAAAAAATCAGATATTTTGATAATTCGCGAGATTTTTGGTACTGTCAAAAATTAGAATGTAGAAAACGATAGAAACATGATACTATAAATAATTACAAAAAAATAAAAAATAAAAAATAAAATAATGATAATAATAATAATAAACTGTAAACTAGTAATCATAAGTCTCAGAAGCCTAGCACACGAAACTGAATAGCTGTCAGAACGAAGAAGCTTACCTCATGCATAAAAAGAATTGATTGTGCCGAGCACTTTTGACCACTACAAGCATATGCGTCTTGATCACAGACCCATGCGACATAATCCACCTTCCATTTGAGAACCATAAAAGATGCATTATCCATGCCTAGAACTCGAGGATCTATATACAAGGGGATTATGAAATATGAAAGTTAAAAAGTTCTAGAAACAATTAACAAACCTCTTGGACATCTGGCCCCAAGATCTTCCAGTCGAATCCTGCATCTTCCAATTTGATGCGCCCCTTTAAGTCAACGGCCAACTTGTCTGCCACCCTTGAGCTACCAGTAAAGAGAGTCATCCGTGGATTTGCCTGCAAAATTTAATTCAATAGGTCAAAAAAAATGGATACAATTACTATTTTCAGTTTTCACAAACCAATCTACTTATTATACTGTTAAGGTTCGTGAAATTATCAGGCAAAAATGTAAATCTATGAATGATATAGTGCCCAAAAAAAATGTAACCATTCTTGATTAATAATTAGGTTGTCTTGCCGATTGCTTTACAAAGCTAAAGAATTGCAGCATTCTACTTTATGAACAATTAAACAAGCATTACATATAAACCAGTCTTCTCTTTGGTGACTAATAGCTTCCCATTATGAGTTCAATAATGGCAATATAAACTACTCTCAATGCAATAATATTTAAATTCAATAATATCCAAAACAGAATTCAAATTATATCATCAACAATCAGTACAATATTATTAGTATTACCAGTTCATGTCATAAATAGCTTAACAACCTCATTTTTATCAGAAATATAACGGTCAATAATTTGGAACCTCAGTTTAAATTATTTTATTTTTTTTAAATATAAAAAAATAAAAAAGGTTTGACAACGAAGATTGAAAGACCCAAAACTTGAAAGGCACAAAAAATAAGTGACAAGGTTAATGAGATAATTGGTGAATTAGTGTTAAAATATATCATCACCTACCACCTCCACTCACCTCCACTACCACACACTCCACCTACCACCTCCACTTCACTCCTACACCTACTACCACATTTTCTTCTATATATAGGAATTTGTAACTATCACAAAGATATCAATCAATCAATCAAATAATACAATTCTCTTTATACATTGAATTTCAACAATTAGCATGAGACAGGATAAAAAGGCTCTGACATTAATTTAGTATTAGCTATTCTCATATTGGCGAAAACCAACCTCCAATAATAGCTTGTTCATCGTCTTCCCATCAGCATTGATGAAGTCAACATCCTCCACAGGTAACCCACATTCGTGGAGCAACCGAAGCATTTGTTCCATAACAATGCATACCTAAGAAACATTTCAGTCAGTAAATAGTGGTCACACAGAGAAAATATTGGAAAGAAGTACAACATAAAAACACAAGTAGAAATTCTTAGAAGTGAAGCTAATAAAACAAGAACAATATATATATATAAACAGTAGTGGGCATTCAAGAGCAGTTGGCAATTCTAACACAACTAGATTTATTAAAATCCATTTGTTGGTTTGTTATCTCATTGAACACCCTTATAGTTGATTCAATGGAAACCCCTCATTAACTTGTCACCAACAAAATATATTGATTCGTGTCAAATGGCCTCAAAAAACTAGAATCTCATACTACTTTAGAGTATCATTTTTTTCCCTTATTATTTAGTATTTAAAAGAACTTGTAAGAGCTCACCTTGCTATCAACTTTTAGAACAGGCTTATTTCCCATATATAGTGCACCCATCAATTGAAGCACGGGAATCTCTAAAGGAAAATTGAAAGGAGTAATTATTGCTGTCTGCACAAACAATTTTTTAAATTTTCAGTTGGTGCAGAAAATGCATATCATCAGAGGTAATCTACTGTTGTGAAAACAAGAATTTCTAGCTGATCAAACAGAAAATTATGACGGAATCTGTAGATCCATTAGATGTTTCTATATATAGAAAGATTGGAACTTGGCCGAAAAAAGTAAACATCATAAATGATGAAAATTAAGTATTCATTGTCCAAAATGAAATCTAAATTGTCATTAAAAGATTAAAAAAAATGAATACATATGACACAACAGTTATATAAATGAATAAAAGATTCAGTCATGTTCTGTTGCTTACGTGCCTACTACCTAGTTATTGAATTTTGAAGAAGGAAAGGTTCTACCCAGTCGAGTAGAGCTCTTCACCAAACCCATATACTATAAAAATCACTCATGCTGGCATTAGTTACTATTCTTTCAAAAATCATTGTAACAAGAGCTCGATATAAAATTAAAATGGAGTGTTTGTTCTTCATAGCATGTCCTTAAAACACAATAAGCATATATCAACTTTTTCTTGTCAAAATGGTATGAAGGAAATAGAGTTTTAAAAATCGGCTGTTACATATCGTATTGGCCATTACGTAATGGGATTTTGACCTTCCGATACCATTATTCACTGATATATCAATCAACACTGTCTGTTACTTTCTGATATTGGTTGATATATGACCGTATCATCGATACCGATACATATCTTGATACCTATATTTAAAACTAAATAACAAACTCATTTTATACCGCTATTAAGTATAAGGTGGATTGTCTCCATGTATATGGATACAGAACATTATCCTAAAAGGTTGTGTAACATAGTTCTATTAAAATCAATTGAGTAAGTTGACAAAAGGGTAACTTACAGGACCATAAGGCCAACGAAAACCATGACTTTGCTGCCCAAGATGATTCCCAGGTACTGCAAAAGACCTAGCCAGGAAACGAACCTGCCAAACATGTGGAAATCAAGATGTAAAGGTAAACAGATGTAATAAAAAAAATTAAAAATTAAAAAAAAGCTTGGCAGTGTCCTTCAATTTTATTGAGATTTGTAATAATATATTCGGTCAGACAAGGCAAGAAATTCATAAAAAGAAAAAAGGAGGTTTGAAAAAAACAAAAAATAATTAGATAGAAAGAAAAAATTGATGACTATATTAGGCTTTGATGCCGAAAAAGATTACGGGAATAATCTGATTAATAGCTTAACAATTTAAAAATGAATACAAGCATTACAAGTATTCAGATACCATATACAATGTACATATATATATATATATATATTTCTCATTCTCTTTTGGTTCAATGAAACAAAAAATAATCAATACAGGATCACTATGTACCTGATCACCAGCAAAATTCTCCAGAAATTTTTGAGTAACATAAACTTCACCATGAGCCTGCTGGTAGCTCTTCGGAGCCACCCTCTGTATTAATTTGCAGAAGAAATCGGAAACCTGAAATGCACACATAAGGCCAAATTAGTACAAAAGTAATGCGAAACATTATCTAATATTGATAATAAAATAAAATAAAAAAAGCAAGAAAAAGGCGTCCTTTTGGGGGGGGGGGGGGGGGGGGGGGGGGGGGGGGGGGGTATGTGTGTACACTTGAAACATATTACCTTTGGCAGGGAAAGCATGTGAGCTGCCTTTACAGATACATCTCCGAGCATAAGATACCTGAAAATTATGGTTTTTTTAGGAGAATCATATCAAATAAACAGTAATTAAAAAATTATGATTTTCTCTACCAAGGCATCTCTGTGACCATCCAATAACAGAAAACCCAAACAAGAAAAGGAGAAATTAACAAAAGGAAAGAGAGGATTAGGAAGCACAAACCTGTCTGGGGCTTTGAACGGGTTGTGTAGACCATGTTTGGGACACTTTGACAGGCTCTCCACAAATGGCTGTGTAAGCAGTCAATGGTTGGAAAAAATTTGCGTAATTGTATTTAGAATGAGAAATGTATAATCTTAAGTGTCTGCATTAGTGAGAGAAGTGAAAATCGAGATAAGGAGAAGATATGCCTAATTACAAGGACCAAGATATGCATTCAGTAAACTGGACAATACTCTGTATGAACAGAAAACAATAATATCACTTCGTAAAGAACACAGAAAGGCCGTTGCAGAATGACACATTCAGATAACATACCTGGATTCCTGTTTCTTCTACTTCCGCAACTTTAATGAATGATTCCCCATTTAAAGGATCGAGAATCGTATTCCATTTAGAGGATCCTGTCCATTCGCCCTGCACTAAAAACGATGACAACCAGATTCATATTATTTGATCTTTTAAGGTGCTTAAGTAAGACCACAGTATCATCAAATGAGTCTTGTTGCTTTAAATTACAGGGAGAACAAGTACTAGCTGCATGTGTTTTATACCTGTCAACCATATTTAATCTAGAATCTAGTTACTTTCCAACAATAGTTAAAATCCCATTAACTACACATTTTGGAAAAATATAAAGAAATCAACTAAAGAAACAACTTAAAGATAACCAGATTAATCATGTCAATATTATTGTGATTTTAGAGGTACTAAGCTGTTATATTGGAAGGTACTTTATGTCCCTTTTCCCTCTCCATTTTTTCTCCTTTAACTTGCTATATGTCGAATATCTTCTTCTTCTTGTTCTTTGTTCTGTTTTGTTTTTTGTTTTGTTTTGTCTTTTTTTTTTTTTTCCCTTATCAAAGTATTATTGAATTGAGTTTTGGGAAATGAACAAACATGCTGCTTAAGTTGGAGGAAATACCCAAGTTCTGTACTTCAGCTGGTTTGGAACCTGAAATTTCTTCAGCATTTACAGTTGCAAAAGGTAATGAATGAACGAATCTGCATACAGATAAAAAAGGGAATAAACTATATGGAGAAAATCACAAAATGAAGAAGCCAGAAAATCACTATACTAATTCTGTTTCACACATATAGCCTGACATGACCAATATACAAGCAATAAACACGTTCTTCCAAACAAAGTATTTATGCTCTCAAGCAATGTGACACTAGGTGTAGATACTTTACACAATACTATGCGAAAATATTTTGACAAAATTTCTTGCATAACAAATCTACTATGCAGAATCACTAACGGTGGCAGAATTGCAAGTGGACATGATTCTAAAATTTGAATCAAAAGGTTAAGGTCACAAAAAAAATGGGCAACTAAGGGATTTGTAAATTTTGTATTACCATAGGAATATGAAAATATTCAATATCAAAAGTTTAATACTAATTTCTAGTTCTGAAGTATTTAAGTACTGAATTTTTAAGACTAAAACTCTCACGATAAGATTGTCAACTAAAAAGTTACATTGAAAACTACATCCAATGAGTGCATTCAATATTCAGCTGCAAGTCAAGTCTTTCTTACTTAAAACTTAGACCAATTTGGAGTGAATTTACATTTTTAAGCGGTAGACAATCATGCATTATTAAACACACTTAACTGCAAAACAACTTAATCAAACATACATTAAGAGCACTACGATTACCACCAAAACCAATCTTGTATACTCCCTCCGTCCCAAATATTCCATTTTTCATTGTCCCAAAATATTAGACCCTCTTCAAAAATCAAGTACAAAAATAATATAAATTTCCTATTTTGCCCTTCTTTTAAATTAATAAACAATATAAAAAGTACAATTACGACATTGATATCCCAAAAAATATACTATCAAAAGGGTAATTTTGGAAAATCAACTTTTTTAAAGTGCAATAATTGTAATATCAAAAAAAGTTGGATTCTCCAAAGGGACCATTATTTTGGGATAGAGGGAGTAACATTGTTTAAAGAAATTAATCGTCATTACGCAAAATGATCATAAAAGTGGAAAATGTTTACTAGCGTTGATGGATTGAAAAATGAAAGGTCCAAGACAAAGTAAAAATTCCGCTATCCATTAAAAATCATAGCAGAGAGATACTGGGACAAAATTGTAGTAGACAAGGAACGACAATTGAACACAATCCAAAGAAAACAAAGCAGAAACTCAATGGCAAAGACTTCCCAAAAACTCCATTTTTAAAATATATTTTTGATTCTTTCCCACAAAAATTTTGAAATTTCCCTCACTGAAATTGAATAATATTATTATCTTTTACCTACAGTTCTAAAAAAGAAATTCCCCCAATTTGCCTCCACTAGACAAAAATCCTTGCTCTGCCCATGCAAAACTCTATAAATAATGATCAATAGCTCAATCATGGTCCTCAATAAAACTTCTCGCTAAGCACTAAAGATCTATTACAAGAATCCTAATTCACAATTCTGCTCTACACAAAAAATTATATAAGGTAAAAAATGTTCATGATGAATTCTTAAATTTGAATTGACATGGCATTAATTAAACTGGTATGAAACACACATACATGTTAGATCACCAACTTTACCCAAAACTCAAGCTATTAGAAAATGAGTCTAACAATGTACAATCAAGCTCTCCAACACCCTCTCTCATGTGCAGCCTGTCTTGCACGTGAGGACGCAAATATTCATACGTGCAGAGAAGAAAGAATGCAACAAGCAAAGGGAGAGACTTGACGGAAGACCTTCATAACCTGTGCTCTGATACACAGATCAACAATTGTCCCAAAAAGCTTAAGCCCTAGGAAATGAGTCCTAACAATGTATATGAAACATATAAATGTTGATAAATCTGGATTACATGACCTTGGTAAAATGAAATGATTCAATAATTAAAAAATGAGATTATTCAGGTATACACATAAGATGCTGAGGTTACACACATTGAATTCATAGTAGTAGATCAATAATCAAAAAGTATTTGTGATTTATCAAGCTCTCCAACAACACACACCCAAACAGGACTGACATAAACTCTAAAAATGCCCCACAAAAATAAGAAATTTAATTTTTTTTTTTTAAATAAATGATCAGATTACCTAACAACTAAGAGCATAATTGATTGATTGAACAATATCAAAAGAAACCCAATCATCAGAAAACAGGGATTTGAGAAGAGTCATTAAAAAAACAGAAAACCCAGAATTGTTTTAACCTATTTCAAAAGACCCATAAACTGAAACCCAAAGATTTTGCAGAAAAGACAGTACCTTGATGAAGCGAACCATTTGAAAGCCGTTTGGGGAGCTCTGGCTCTCATCTCTCTGTAGACTTTCAATCTATACATAGTGTTGTGACTGAGTACCAAAGAAAATTTGATCAAAACCTTACATGCACACACTTTCTTTTTAATGAGAAAAACTTCACCAATTGAATGGCTAAGGACGTGTTCTTTGTGCTGCCATTTCATTTCCCAATAACCTTGCGATCCTATTTGCTTAGAGTAATGCTAGACACCCAAATATTCTGTCAAAAATTTTATCAAATGTTTCATGTGAGTCCCACGAGATATTTGGTAAAATTTTTAGTAAAATTTTTATGACCTCTAACATTTTTGATTTGCTTATAAGGAATTTCTGATCCGGTGTGTTGACACCCTGCTGCTCTTCATGTAGGCACGGTCGGGCCAAATCCAATATTAACGTCTCGTTTGGCAAGTGATTGTTTTAATTAAAAAGTTATTAAAAAAATTAAAAATTTAATAATTTATATTAAAAAGTTAAAGATTTATTTTTTTTTATTTTTTGCACATTTTTTCATAAAAAATCAAAAAATCATTCCAAGCATACTAATTTTTTTCACATTATATTTTAACCAAAAAATCAAAAAATTACTAAAATAAAATATTCCCAAACGAAACCTAAATCTAATCTAATTAGAATGTCTTAAAAAAGATTTTAAATCTCAAACTCGTTCACTTTAACTTAATAAATATCAGTTATTAATTTTTATTTATTTATTTAAATGATTTACATCCTTTTATTTATTAATTAAATTTTGAACATTAACAAAGTTAAATGGTAAAATAAATATAACTTTTAATAAATATTTTAATTTGAGCCCAAAAAAAATTATATATGCTTTTTTTATGTTTTTTATTTTTTTACTTTATTTTATAACTAAAATAATATAAAATTATAATTAATATTTTATAAATGAATGAACTAAGCTGGATTGAACTGAGTTATAACTATTTATCTCAAACTCAACTCGAATATTAAATGGCCATAAAATCTTAGCTCAATTTAGCTTATAGGTAAAATAAAATTTTCAAATCTTAAAAATAGCTATATTGAGTTGAGTTGGGTAGGGTGGACAGCCACCCCTACCTTTACCTCCTCTGTGGTGTTATTGTGCCCTCTGTTGGGCTTATTGGGAGTGATCATAGGACCGATGACCCGTTCAACTCGCTTAATCCACTATAATATTTTAGGATTTGAAAAAAAAATATTTAGTGCATAAATCAGGTTTGACTAAAATTTTGAATTCATTTAATTTTCGAACTGAGTTTGGAACAAAAAGTTTTAATCTAACTCAGTCTCTCTTGCCATTTATAAAATATTAATTTTAATTCTTATATGATTTAGTTACAAAATAAATTATAAAAATAATAAAAGATAAAGAAAAGTACAGATATACATTTCTCACTAAAGTTTAAATTAAACACACTTCTTAAAAGATTATATTTATTTTACAATTGAATTTTGTTAAATTCAAATAATTATTAAAAAGTCTAAATAATTTTATAGTCTTTCAAGAAAAAATAAATAAATAAATAACTCATATTTATTTTATTTAAACTGCAACAAACAACACCAGTACTCAAAATGGTTGATTTAAGGTGTTTATTAAATGATTTTTTTAGGGAAAATTACATCGATGATCCTTACATTTTACCACTTATGTCATTTTAGTCTCTACACTATTAATTTGCTCAATTTTGACTCTTAATTTTAAATTTTGTATCAATTTGATACAATTAATAATGCTGTTAGTGTTTTTGATAGAAAATAATCACTGAATTAGGTGAGGTTAACTCATTAAGTTGAGTATATTTATAATTTTACTCTTAAAAATATGACACATCTCAATCACAAATGATGTTGAAATTAGAGATTTGGAAGAATTTATAAATAATCGTGTGGTTGGGGGTCGGGATTAAGCGTGGGCATGAGGGAGTATGATAGTAGTTAGTAGCACGTTAGTATATCAAAGTAAATGCAGACAAGAATTAAGATATGGATAAGGATGATTAATGGGCAATTCTACACGCTTCAATTACTCAGTTTACGCCATTATTCATAGAGAAATTCTATTTTTACATGATTAATGGGCAAAGCCTCTGTTTGGGAAGAGGTTTTTTTGGATTTTTTTAGTTAAAATAGTCACAAAAGATAAAATAAGTTATTTTAATCACAACAAACAAAACATTACATCCAACTCATAATCATTATACTCTTCTCTCACAAAAAAAGTCAAAAAAGTCAAAAAGTCCTTCTCAAACCAAGCTTTTTAGCCCATACTAAAATAGTCAAAAAAGTCAAAAAGCCAAAAAGTCAACCCATTTCCCAAACGAAACCTAATTATTTTCGTATATATTTTCTCTTGGTATATATATTTATTAATTTGATTATTAATTAATTTTTTAAATTCATATAATAAAAGTTACAATTATATTCTTTACTTATAATTATTGTACACACCAATCAATCTTCACAATTATATTCTTTACTTATAATTATTGTACACACCAATCAATCTTCACAATTATATTCTTTACTTATAATTATTGTACACACCAATCAATCTTCACAATTATATTCTTTACTTATAATTATTGTACACACCAATCAATCTTCACAATTATATTCTTTACTTATAATTATTGTACACACCAATCAATCTTCACAATTATATTCTTTACTTATAATTATTGTACACACCAATCAATCTTCACAATTATATTCTTTACTTATAATTATTGTACACACCAATCAATCTTCACAATTATATTCTTTACTTATAATTATTGTACACACCAATCAATCTTCACAATTATATTCTTTACTTATAATTATTGTACACACCAATCAATCTTCACAATTATATTCTTTACTTATAATTATTGTACACACCAATCAATCTTCACAATTATATTCTTTACTTATAATTATTGTACACACCAATCAATCTTCACAATTATATTCTTTACTTATAATTATTGTACACACCAATCAATCTTCACAATTATATTCTTTACTTATAATTATTGTACACACCAATCAATCTTCACAATTATATTCTTTACTTATAATTATTGTACACACCAATCAATCTTCACAATTATATTCTTTACTTATAATTATTGTACACACCAATCAATCTTCACAATTATATTCTTTACTTATAATTATTGTACACACCAATCAATCTTCACAATTATATTCTTTACTTATAATTATTGTACACACCAATCAATCTTCACAATTATATTCTTTACTTATAATTATTGTACACACCAATCAATCTTCACAATTATATTCTTTACTTATAATTATTGTACACACCAATCAATCTTCACAATTATATTCTTTACTTATAATTATTGTACACACCAATCAATCTTCATTTTTACACACTGAGGTTTCGTTTGGGAAGCCAACTTTTGAGTTTTTTTTGTTAAAATAGTTATAAAAAACAAAATAAGTTTTTTAGTCCAATAAGACAAAACATCACATCTAACTCATAATCATTACATTCTTTCTCTCACAAAAAAAATAAAAAAGTCAAAAGTCATTTCCAAACCAAGTTTTTTAGCCTTAGGCTAAAATAGCCAAAAAAACCAAAAAATCAACCCACTTCCCAAACGAACCCTTATTAAGTGACATTACTTCCAGATTTGTAGAGCTACGTGAAGACCATTTAAGATCAGACTGTGAAGTAAAGTGAAGTAAAAGCCCTCCATTGAAGACCCTATTGAACCTCAATTGAAAACACCACTGAAAACCCTTCAAAATATTGTTAAAGATAAGACATCTTTCTATTTTATTATTGCATTTACCATTTTGTTATTGCATTTATCATTTACAGATTTCTATGCATTCCATTGCCATAAAACTCTATTTTTTCTTTTTCTTTTCTTTTTTTTATGTTTTTCGGTTTGTGGATTTCGACACTGATTTTTCAAAATTATACATTTAATTTAAAACTTAACTTCTAACTAAAAGTGATCGATTCGACAAATTTGTTCAAAAAAAAATTTAAAAAAAAAATTTCTGTAGTTGATGTCCGAATATAATGAAATAATTCGGCAGTTGATGTTCGAATATAATGAAATAATTCGGCACTAGTTGTGCAACTGAAAACCGCGAAAGGAAAAAAATAAAAAGAAAATTCTGCATGAAAAAACTAACATTTTCATCACTAATAGAGTATAAACCTAGAGATTAAAATAATATGAGAGTATTGCTTTGCAAGTAATAGAGAAGTATAGAGTGTGCAACAAGCAAAGTAACAACAGTGGAAAAAACTAGGGTTTAGTTTTTTTTTTTTTTTTTACTCAAAATGTGTTCATTGAGATTTTTTTTATTTTTAAAAGATGTACATAGTGAATATTTTCATATAATATTATAGGTGTTGGTGGATGTCAATTATGATCATTTGAGTTTAGGATATAATTACCATTAAAATAATATTTCATTAAGTGTGTATACTGAACTAACTAGGTGTGTGAAAATAGAATTTCTCATATTCGTAATTTTTTTATTACAATTTTATCCTTCAATCAAACATTCAAATTGCCCTCATCTTTATTACATTACTTTCATCCACAAACCCGAACTTAACCTATTGATAGCCACTGCCAACTGTCACTACTGCTATCGCCACTTCAACCCCTTGTCTTCGGTCGCCTCTAATCGCCTCATCTCCACAACCTTCCTTTCTACTCTCTGCCCTCCAACAGCTTCCTAGACTCTGTCGTCCTAACCTCAACATCACCACACACCACTGTCGCCGTCATTAACCTTCGCCGTCGCAGCCATTACTAGCCCCTCTCTCATGCCATGTTACGCCTCCTCCAACTCCGTCATCCACCCATCTGTCATCGTACACCCTTTTCTTGCCATCGCGAACAACCCTGCTCCCCCCTTTGCCATCGCGAACAACTCCATCCCTACCCATGCCATTGCAATCCCTCTCCCATGTCTTTCCATTCGCAACAGTCCTCTTGTATTCGGGCCTTCTCCACCGCAGAACGAGAGAGAGAGAGAAAGAGGGGCCTAGGGTTTCTAGATCTAGATAATAAAGAAGAAGAGGAAGATAGAGGATGAACTAGAGGGGTGATGAAAGGGGAATGGTGGAGGCCGATAGCTGATGACCAGCGATGGACAAGAGTTTGGGTTAGGGTTAGTTAGAAAAGATGAGGGTAATTTGGTATTATTTAAAA